GAGGTAGTGGAGTCTTTAAGAGGTGGAAGGTACTTAGGCTCCACCTTTGTGAACAGATTAATGTTGGTCTCGTGGAGTGACCTGGGTCCCACAGGAGGGGATGGGTCAGTTCCCGAGGAGCAGATTATCATAAAAGGGTGGGCCTTCTCCTCCTTGGCCTCTGGCTTCCTGCTTCACAGTGTGACCTCTTACACATCCTCTGTATGTGATGCCCTCACCACAGATCCCTTGCCAGAGCCCTCCCGAGAGTGTGCTGGCAGCATGCTTGTCCTCCAGCAAGGTGAGCTAAATAAACCTCCTTTGTAAATAAATTACCTAGTTCCAGGTACCTTGTTCTAGTAAGACAAAACAGGCTAAGGTGTGGATCCTGGCTTTGAATGCTCTGTATTGCTCTTGGGAAGCCTCCTGGCTTTGATTCTCCATTCTTCCCTGTGTGATCTGTTTCTCTTCCAAAAACTTCCAAGGTCTTCCCTACATCCTCAAGGTTCTGATATTGTGCCATGATGCTCAGGAGGCAGATGGGCCTCTTTTTAGGCGGACATAATCTTACAGATTCCAGATCTGCTTTAAGTCAGTGTGAATATGATGTAGTGTGTAAGTGTAGCCATGGTGTGTGTTTGCGTGTATGAGGGTGATGAGTGTGTGTATAGGTGTGTGTGTGTGTGTGTGTGTGTGTGTCTGGGAAGTCACTGCCATCTGTGTTTTGAGACTCTGCTGCAGTCACACCCCCCACATACCAGTGCCTGAGCCTGTGCTGAGCTTCCAGCTGTTGCAGGCCTGGCTGCTGGTTCCGCCATCCAGGGCTGTACCTGTCACTCAGCTCTGTGGCATGCCCTTGTGTGGTACAGGGTGAACATCCTGCTTCTGCTTTGGCATTGCCCTGGGGGCTGGAGACAACTGATACCACAACTTCTGGTGGGCTTGAGAATGTCTTCAAAGTCTAGGGTGCCTGTCATTGCCATCTTCGCCCAGAGCCTCTTAGGGTTAGAACTGGGCTCTTCTCTTAACTTTTCCCTCTTATCCGACATCCAGTTAATCTGTTTCTCTTCCCTATTGATCTGTTCTAAAATCTTCTTTTTCCTTTTGCCCTGACTTGCACCCCGGCCCCTGGCCCTATCCCTGGATGAATGTGGCCATGTCTTGCAGCCTTCTGCTTCCTCCTCAGCACCTGGGCCTGCAGCCAGGCCCACTCATCCCTCTGTCCCTCCGTTTCCTTGTTCAGGAGACAGTGCAGTTGTCTCCGTGGGACAGGGGGAAGCCAGCAGCTTGTGGGCTGGTAGATTTTGTTTGTCCTACATAATTCTTTTAAGGAATTGCTGGCCAACTTTTAAAAAATTCTTCCAATACAAATCTCTATTTTGGGCTTTCCTTGAAAACTTGGAAAACCTGGCAGTGCTGAGCATATATTCCTAAGTGGGGGCAGAAGGTGGGAGTGGAGGGTTCGCTGCTGGCTCTCCTTGGGCTACGTTGCCCCAGCTTGTCATTTTCCTGGTTATGTCTCATGGGCCCTCCACCTGCCTCATTTCTGTCACCTTCCAACCTCCAGCACATTAATCTTGGTAACCCCCATCTAAGCAGTGAGCTGTGGACCTTTCTGTTGCATACTCAGAAGACACCTTGTATTTTTGCAGCCAAGGCATCATTTTACCTCTTGTGAGCATGCTCCGTCTGCCTCTAAATCTGTCCAAATCCTGTTACCCTACAAGGCCAGATACCTCCTCTTTCTGCCTTGAAACCTCCCTGCCTGCACCAGGTGGAAGTTCTCTCTCTCCCTGAATCACTAAAGTGCTTGCAGTTGTCTCTGGCTTCTGGTGATGTTGTTGGTTAGTTTGTTTATTGGAGCTGTGTTCAGGCTGACCACCCCTCCAGGGCTTGGACCTCCCAGTGCCTGACACACAGTGCATTGCACAGAATGGGTTTGCACCAAATGTGTGACTGGAAAAATGCATAGTGGTGAGCAGAGGCCTTGTTTTGTGGGTACCACCAAGATGGCCCCTGACTAACGAGGAACTGTGTTAGTAGTAACTTTCCCCAGCAGCTCTGAAGACCCTTATTTCACTTCTTGTCTCCAAGCCACAGTTTGGGGATGCATCTTAAATGCAGGGCAAATATCCAAACACAGCTGAACTACCATGATACGCCTTGGTGGGCTATGGGTGTCCTTACTTTCTTGTAAGGGATTTGATCTGTCACTAGGGCTATTCAGTCATCACCATAACGGGCTAAAGAGAACCCCTGGAAGTTGCTAAAGAGAACGAGCGACTTACAGGTTGTTGGAAATTGCTGATGTTGAATGGTTGCTGTGGTCACCTGCTCAGTGCATGCTCAGTTTACATCCCCAGGCCCAGGGTTTCCCAACCCCATGCACTTGGGTAGTGGGAATGATCCAGGCATTTCCTTTACTACTGCCAGCCCTCTTTGAGAGGGGAAGGAGCTTTACTTCCTAAGTCTGGGCTGGGGACAAGTGGCCTCCAGAGCAGTCTGCCCAGTGGACCCATTGTGATGGCGCAGATGTCCTGTACCTGTGCTTTCCAGTGCAGTAGCCAGTTGCCACACGTGGCTGTTGAGGTCTTGTCATGTGGCTGGGGTGAATGAAAGACTGAATTCTTCATCTTTCACTGTCATGAATTTAAATTTAATACCGTATATGGCTACTATATTGGGCAGCCCAGATCTCAAGGGCTGGGAAGATGGGTCAAATACAGTACCTGATGGAGAGCTGTGTGTGATCCTAACACCAGGACAACTGGCTGAGGATGCCTCCTGCGTGGAGTGGGATAGGGCTTCACCAAGCATCAAAACCGTTTCAAATGTTATTCACCAGGAAACCTGTTGCTGTGCTGTTCAGAGGAGGGCATTGGTACTTCCTGTTTCCTTCAGGAATGGCCAAGCCAGACATGGTAGTGCGCTCTTGTAATCCCAGTACTCAGGAGGCTGAGGCAGGAGGATCACCATGAGTTGGAAAGCAGCCTGGGCTTTATTAATGAGTTCAAGGCCAGCCTGAATCTCATAGAGAGACACTTTCTCAATACCCCCACCCAACAGCAGACATCAGGCTCCCCTTAGTGTAATTCTTTGAACAGACTTCCTTTGCTTGATTGCATTAAAGCATGCCATCCATATATGCTTTATGTTCAGAGTGTAAATGCCGGACTCAAAGAGCTGTTTTGGGAGAGGGGTGGGGGAATGCAGGGGGAGGGCTGGGTCGCCTGTTACATGAAGGAAACTTGTCTGTTCATCTGCTTCACCTGGCTTTTCTTGCGTTCAGTCAGCTGAGGCATCTGGGGTGTCCTGGCCTTACATGGCAGTTGTTGAAGCCACGCCATGCTGTGCGTGTAGCTGTATGAATCTCTAGCTGCGTTTTCCAGAACACATGAAATGTCTGCCCAGCCCTTCTTTGAGGGCCATTTTGCCATGGCCTTTGCCTCCCATGGGCCTGGCAGTGGGATGAGGGCCCATGAACGACTTGTCTTACTGGGGCCTCCCCTCAGTGATCTGCAGTCCTGTTCAGGGTCCGCAGGTGTTTGCAACTAGTGGGTTTGTGTGTTTGTGCCCTGCTGTTCCTCTCACTGTGGAAAGCCTGGCAAACCCTTGACTGCTTTGCCTACTGCTATCTATTCAGACCCCCAGTAGTTCCCTTCTCCCCTGCCCAGTGACCCTCTCAGCTTGTTTCAAATACATGCTGATCAGGAGGTTGGACATAACCACAGGGGCTGAGAGAATGTTCGTGTGCGGTGGAGGGGCAGGCGGTGACAGCCAGGGAGGCTGGCCCAGGTAGGGAGCTAGCACGCATGGCCTGCAGACTTGGTTTATCCAGGATTTTGTTCTCTGAATTACTCCACTCCCACTCTCTCCACCGTGGAGTCAGCCTTGTCCTGACCTCAGCCTCTCTTCGTGGTTGCAGGAGGCTTCCAGCAATGCCCAGGGCCACCGCGCTTCTGCAGCCTATGCTCAGTTCACAGGGAGTGAGGCATCTTTCCCAAAGTGCCTTTGGTCTCAGTTGGACCACACACCCTCTCCAAATTAGTAACTGCACTGGGCAACACTGGCTCCCAAGAACCTGTGGTGGAACAAGGTTTTCTGTTGGCCCAGAGCTGTGAAGTGAGATGTGGACTCTAAATATGTATAGACGGAGGAAGTCACCAAGAGTGGGGCAGATTTTAGGGCAGAAACTACAACTTTCACTTCCCTTTCTGTAACCTGCCAAACCCTGATCGTTTACTGTCTTGGTTGCTTTTCCATTGCTGAAACAAAATACCTGACACCCACCAACCAAGAGAAGGAGAGGCTTATTTTGGTTCACATTTTATCTGTTCAGGCTTTTGTGGGAGGAGTCTGAATAGATAGCAGTAGGCATAGCTGTCAAGGGTTTGGCTCCAGGTTAGAAATGGCATGGCGGGAAGCCCCAGTGAGGGACAGCTGCTCATCCCACGGTAGCCAGGAAGCAGAGAGGAGCCAGGGACAAGAATACACCTTCCAGATCATGCCCACAGTGACCCACCTCCAACCAGGCATTTAGCTATTGAACGTATCAATGGATGATTCCATTGATGAGTTTGGCACCCCGTGATCCCATCACCTCCCACACACATGAGAATCTGGGGGGACCTTTTGGATCTAAACCATAACATATACTTCCAGGTGTGCTGTTCTGCTAGAAAGTAAAAACTTGTCATTTCTAAACTAATACTTTTTATTCTTCCATGACTCAGATCACCTTCACTTCCTTTGCTCAATCTCTTCCTTTCTCCCTTTCCTCCTCTATTCTGTCCTTTCTTCCTTCTGCTTCCTCTTTCCACATCGGTTCTTCTCTTCTCTTCTCTCATCCTCTCCTCTTGGCCCTTCCTCTCTTTACCACCTCTGCCTCCCAGTCTCTCTTTCCCCTCCTTCCCCACAGTCCCCTCTTGTTTAATAATCTAGAATATATGACTCAACTAACTTGGTTCAACACAATTTAGTTTCTCCCTAAATAATAAAATGCTTTCATATTTACCCCCCAGGAAGAAGAAATGCCAGATGTAGAAATCGACATTGACGATCTTCTGGATGCAGACAGTGAGGAAGAGAGAGCTTCAAAATTACAGGTGAGTAGCTTTCAAAGTCTTGAACCTTCCAACCGTGGCTGTTTGACTCCACTGGAGTCCTCAAAGTGTGGCACAAAGTGAGGAGATGTGATCCAGCTGTTTCCCTGTGGTACCATCAGCGCCAGGAGTTGGTGAATGACATTTTGCAGAGAGGAAAGCAACGGGTGCTGGGGTGTTCACCCACTGGTAAATACCAGATGCATCTGTGATGGGAAAACAGCTCTTGATTATGGCCAGTTTTCCAAGGACTTTATGAAGGGACTTTCTGCAGCCTCATTGTCTTGGGAGAAAGAGCTGGTTCTTCCCCCAGAGATCACTCTCTGCAGAAGGCAGTGGAGCCCACAGGAGAAAGGAAAGGACTGGATTGGAACTGGAAATATTCAAGCCTGGGACTCTGGTCTCACAGATTGTGGCAGTCATGAAATTCATTTCTAGATTAGACTCCTTATGAGATAATTCAACTTAGAATATCTTTTAAAAAATAATGTTCACCTGATACCAGTCACATACTAGTACGTTAGTGGAGGTTGAGTTGTTTAATGTTCCTTAGTGGAAAGCAATAAAATTTTTACAGTCCTCCCCACAAGAGACTAAATTTATCATTTTAACAACTGCATTTGGAGTTTCTAAAATGAATTAACCTTTGACCCACCACTGTTCTTAATAGCCACTGATAATTATTGGTAATGGCTATTGGTTATCACCTATGGCAAGTGGTCACTAAAGCAAATCAAAAGCACATTTTAATGCACTGATATTTTCAATGTGTTAGTAATTGCTAATGTCCCTTGAGTGGTGAGCAGCCTTAGTTACAGTCATTATTTCTTATGGGTAGATTTAGTTGGGAAATAATAGCACCCTAGTTATAAAAGTTTTTAAAAAGTAAATAAAAATTTAAAGCACATATCGCTATGGAAAATGTAATGACAATGAAATTAATCTCAAAATGGAAAACTTGAAAGGGGCTTTTTTAGCTCTCCTCAGGTTACCTGCCCCGCTTGATTCTCAGGTGAGGACGTTGAAGCTGAGTCCCAAACTGGTCTGTGGCTGATCATGGCCAGAGCCTCCTCTTTCCATGTTCACTGTGATTGTCACTATCTGGCACAGGTGGTCTCAACTTAAAGGCTATGCCGGTTAATATTAACCGAGTAGGGGGCCCAGTGGAGAGGGTAGGGGGAGGTGTGTGCATGTGTGTGTGCATAAAGAGGAGGTAAAAGTCATTTACCGGATGGGTGGGTTTGAAATCTTTTAGGCCTTTGGATTATATTCAGTTAACATAATATAAAACTAGAGTCCTAGGAAAGCTGGAGTATGGGGGGGGGTTGGTGGGTGTTCTGCTCCCATGGAGGGCCATCATGGGTTTGGACGTAGAGTTAGGCTGCATCTCTCTGCAGACCGCAGCCTAAAGCCTACTGCTTTCCTATCTCTGTGCCTCTTTAAAGTAAGTTCTCCTCAGTAAGGGATCTGTAATCTGATCAAGGGCTGTGTTTTGTTTTCAATACTATGGTAGCATAAAAAAGAAATCCTTTCATTAAAAACACTTCCCATGAAGTGTGTGTGTGGGGTGTGTGTGTGTGTGTGTGTGTGTGTGTGTGTGTGCATGCAGGCCCTCTTGTACATGTGTGCTTGTGCACTTGGACAAACCAAGCATTCCTGCATTATTAATGGCCAAGTGGTGCTGAAATGAGTGATTGTGGATAGTCAATATGAAGTCTTGTTCTGCCATTATAAAATAATAGTTTAAAGATGAAACGATTTTTAATTTCACTTTTAAAAGTGATACTGAAATTTAAAATAATAAAACTGAGTTTTGGTGTGTTTCATTCTAGGAAGCTCTTGTGGACTGCTACAAACCAACAGAGGTAAACAAATCACTTCTTCTAAATGCTGTGTTTGAGTGGATTTTATTAAATCCATTTGTCTATTTTTAAGCTGAACCACAATAAACAAATATTAATTAGCAACTACCATCCATGAGTGCCTGTGTTTGCACAGTACTACCTTCTTTAATTCCTAGCTTAACGTGAATAGCTCGGGAAGACTGAAAGCTAATTGCAAGGGTATGTTTCCAGCTTTAGATAAAATCCAAACTTCAAATAAAATTGTGAGAGGGTGTGGAATTGCTATAGTTAAGGTTTTAGGTTTATAACCGAAGAATGCATCCCACTAGTTTATTGGTATGTATTTTTTAAAGCTTAAATTAATTCTGTTTTTCAAGAAAATTACCTTTCTTAGGAGAAAAAAAGTCATGTTTTTTGGATATTTATCAAAAGTATAAACATTAATATAAAAAGCAATGCATAACAGTCTGATAAATCCAGAGCGTGTAATGTTTATTCTAATAATCAAAAGTAGGAACAGCATGGAAGTTAAGGTATTGATTAATTATGAAAATAATAACAAAAGAAGTACTTTCACTTTGTTCCTCTGATAAATAAAAGAAGATTCATCAGATGTTTTGAAATCTATTTTTAATCAAAGCAGTGGTGGTAAGATTGCTGATTTTTGAAGTGGTAAATTACAAAGGGAAATGGAAGTGTGCTTTTTATGAGAGCACAGAATTTCAATGAGTAAGATGTTTCATGATCATGTACTTTGAGGCTAGTTACCTATTTGAGCTGCATCCTTATAACCTCCAATTTTGCTTGCGTCTGACAGTCATACAAATTTTTAATTTTAGCTGTTAAAAAACATTGGTGAATGCAACACATATTCACACTTTTAGAAACAAAAAGTATTAATCAGGCTTATAAAGAAAAAGTAGTAGTGCTCTTCCCCATCCTTTGGCACCCCTCCCTAGAGGTCTCTATCTTATATTTATATACTTTATTTATGTACTTATATACTACACTTTTGGTTGTTTCCCTGTTATACACTCTTATATTTCTAAATATGTATTTAGTACATTTTTGAAGACGTTATTGACTTAAGGAAAAAGATGATAGCTCTCTTATTATCCATATAATTCCTTTCTGTCCATCCCCTCGATAAAATTATGTAACAATATTTTGTTAAATCAATGGCTAAGGTTGATAGTATTATGATTTAACAAATATTTTTATGACTCATTTAACAGTGAAATATGCTGGTGGCTTCTTCTTTGAATAGCCCTTTGTTTTTCCTGGAATTGATAACTCCTTGTTTTTTATTTTGTGTAGGTTCAATTGCTATTTTTATAATGAATCCTTCAGTGCTTTTGTCAAACATGTAATATATTTCCTCTATCTTCAAACACTTCATTACTATCTCTTTGCCCCCAGACTGGAATCCCTTTCTCTGGGTTTGCTGAATGTCTCCTATTCTGAGATTTTTGTTTACTGCTGTCTAGTGTTCAGTCTTTAGCTTTTAAGTCTCAGTCTCCTACATTTTTGTGATATACCTCATCCACTAGCTTATTGAGAAAGGATGTATAGGGGTACCTCTTTTAATCCTTGTGTAAGTCACAGTATATCTCTACCAATAGTTAATTTGGATGGTGTAGAATTCTAAGCTAAAAGGCATTATTAAAACTCAATTTAAAGGTATTTCTCTATGTCTTGCTTCTAGTTTTAAGAAGCCTGATGGTATTTCCAATTTCATTTTTTTTACATATGATCTATTCCTCCATTTTCATTTAACTTTTTTGTGTGTTTGTTTGTTTGTTTGGTACTGGGAATCAAACTCAGAACATTGCACATGCCACGCAGGTGCTTGTGCCACTGAGCTATATCCCCAGCCCTCATTTAACTTTTAAGGCTATTTCTCTATATTTTGAAGTTTGACAGTTATATACATGCTGTGGAGTGGGTGTTTTTCTATTTATACATGGATGCTTTGCAAGCTCTTTAAGTCTGAAGACATTGTCTTTCAGTTTTTCAGAAATTCTCTTTTATTACTGGTTTATTATTTATTTCTTTTTCAGTATTCTGTATTTCTGACTCTCTTGTTATTTGGATATTACCTTTTAGATGAAGTCTATAACTTCTTTTTCCTTTTATTTTCCAGATCCTTAATCTTTTGTTCTACTTTCTAAGAGGTTTCCTTGGCTTTATCATCTAGTGTATTTACTGATATTTTAAAACTCTTCCTGTCTTATTTTTAGTATCCCAGAGCTATTTTTTGATCTCTGTTTCCCATTTTGTTTTAGTGTTTCTTCTTGTGTCATAGATTCATTTTATTTTCTTTTCAAGGAAATTAATAAAATGTTTTCTTTGTTTTTAAGATTACTCTACTATTTGTGTTGCCTTTTTTCCCTCTGAACTCCACCTTTTTAGTGCCTGTTTTCACCTACCTTTGCTGAGATTTGGCAGCATACCTCCCTTTAAGTATAAGGGAACCATAGGCTCGTTGGCATTTTGTGTATGAGCACAGCCTGTTCATTGGTGGATCTCTCTACGCGTTCAGCAGGTTGCAAGCCAGAATCTTTTTTTTAATACTCTGTTATGTGTGAATTGGAAGGACTCCTTAAAATGTTAGCAGAGTTGTGAGCAGTTGTAATGGCATTTCAGTAAACAGCAGACCATATATACAACAGTGGTCCTATGTGATTATATTACCTCGTGATACTAGTTTTTGTGAGTACACTCCATGATGTTCTCATGATGACAAAATTACCCAACAACACACTTCTCAGAATGTATCCCGTGTTAAATGATGCAGGACTTTACTGGGGTGTTGTTTCTGTGGATAAATTCAGGTTTTTAAAAATTTGACAGTCTAATCCCCTACCTGCAGCTTGACAGTGTGACTTCAGGATTTCTGGAAGCAGAGAGGATGAGGAAGGAGACCTCCCATTTAGTCATTCTGGAAATAGAACATTTTATTTATAAGTTGTTGGGAAATAATGCGATTTAAACCAATGATATCTGGAGAGTGATTCTGATTGTTGGGATGCGTTAGGGTAGTAGGATTGTAGTGAAGAGCAGTGATGAATTATGCAGATGCATGGCCATGTGCTGCGGAGGTGGAGGGTTTGCTGCTGAAGATAACCAGATTGGTGGGTGCAGAAATGCAATATACTCATTCCCCTTTTCTTTAGTTCTCCTCCAGCTGGAGTAGTTTGTGTTTTGGTTTCTTAGGTGAGAAGGTTGAACTTGCAGATTTCTATTCTGTTGGCTCCACAGGCAACCCATAGTGGCCAGTCTATCCCCTCTCCCAAAGTGAGCGTTGTCCTCCTTCCCCTGTTGCCCCAGTGTCTAAAACATTGAATACTTACAGTGGTTAACGACGTGCAGCTAAGGGAAGACAGTGGGTCTTGCCCCTAGAACAAAAATTTCCTTATCTGATTTTTATGTGGAGTGTTAGGAGATGAAGAAATATAGTACTTTAAAATTCTTTAGATTTCCCAAAGAAATAAAGAGAAAAATGAGTTGGAGTTTCCAAGTGAACATCTCTGTGTTCAGTTTTTAGCTCCTGGTTTCTAGGAATGGAAATGCTATAAAATGCTGAGGAATTTCATGCAAACTAATTTATCTATGAAATTATCATTTCAGAAAGGCTGGGTAGTTTTGCCTTAGAGCTTATGTTCATAAAAAAAAAAAGACATATTTTCCTAGCACCTGGATTGTGAGATAAGAGTAAACAGTTTCTGTTTTTCCATAGCTCTGTAGGGGCCAGGGATATAGCTCAGTGGCATAAGCACCTTCCTGGCAAGCGCGAGGTCCTGAGTTCAATTCTCAGTACCAAAAAAAAAAAGCATAAATAAATCATGGCTCCATAGTTCACATTCCACTAACATACATTACCTTCTTTAACTCTCTCTCTGATCGCTTGAAGCTAAGAGGACTTGGATAACTGGCCTGTGGTGTCAAAGTAGAGAACCAGGAAGCCAGGGCTCAGCCCTCGGGGTCTGAAAACTGATTTTGTGTTATCTTTCCCTCCTGTCAGTCTTGACTCAACAAGAGATATAAAAATTTATCTGAATTAAATTGCTAATAGTTAATGATGTCCTTAAAGTAACCATCTCTGGAAAGTGCTATATTTGACCAGAATTATTTTGCTAACAAATATTATGCCATTTTGAAGTTAATAATGTAAAGAAGACGTATTGGCTGACTCAGATACATTTATTTATAGCCTCTTATTGCAGAGGGAAGGTGGGTAGTGGAAAGAAGGTTCCATTTCCTGCTGCATAAAAATGGAGGTAATCATAACTGTCTTTCTGAGTTATAGTATTATTCCCAGTGATAATTTTAGTGATAATAATAGTAATAGCTAAACAACTACTCATTTAATCTTTTTTCATGAAAAATTTCAGTATATTTTAAATTACTCATAGCTTGAAGTTTTAAAAATAATCAGGAAGGGGTTGGGGATTTAGCTCAGCGGCACAGCACCTGCCTGGCAAATGCAAGGTCATGAGTTCGATTCCTGGTACCAGAAAAAAACAAAACAAAAAAAACCACAGGTTTTTTTTTTAGAGCAGCTTTAGGTTCAGAAGATTTCCCCTTTGTACCCTTCCCCCACCAGCTTCCCCCATTATCAACACCCCTCCCCCAGGGGTGCATTTACTTCGATTTCTGGGCATACATTAACACTTAATAATCACCCCAAGTCCATAATTTGTCTTGGGGTTCCCTCTTGGGGTTGTACATTCTATGTATAAAGACGTGTATCCACCATTGCAGTATCCGTACAGAGCAGTTTCACTGTCCGAAAAGTCCTCTGTGCTCTGCCTCTCAACCCTCCTTTTGCCCTCACCCCTGACAACTACTGACCTTATTGTCTCCACATTGCATTTTTTCATGTCATATGGTTGGAATCATACAGCACTGTAGCTTTTCAGACTGGCTTTTTTTTTTTCATAGTAATATCATTTAAGTTTGCTCCACATCTTTTCATTCTTAAATAGCTCATTTCTTTTTAACACCGAATAGTATTTCAC